TGGATGAACAAAATGTACCTGCAACTATGGGACTTTATTTATTTATGGGACTCAACCCAACAAAAGTACTAGAATCTGTACTTTACTAAGAAAGTGTAATCCCAAATATAACATATGTTACATTTGACCACTTTCTAAATGGCATTGTGTATTTCCAACAGAGCTACAGATAACTTTTTTGAGTTATTGAGTTATGTACTCGCTTGTGTTCATTTCATTTGGGTATCCCAATTTTCCTTTGAGTAACCAAATAAATTGTACCCACCTCACTCGAACTCAATTGGGTATTTTTGCCATTTTCCATTAATTGTAAAAATATAATAAAGTTTAAACGTTGGCTAACGTGTTTGATATTTATATTTTGATCTGTAATATAAGAAACGATAAGAAAGACTGCAAGTTGCCTAGTTCATGTGTTGAAATAGAACCTCTCAATATATGTCAGTTATTTCATCTATATCCACCAGTACGCAGGCTAAGATTTGACATTTATGTGTGTACGCTTGTAAGATCAAATTTATTGAGCATTTTAAAAAATTAAAGCGTACTTGTACGCATTAGACTTAACAGGAATTGAGTTTTCACATAAATATTTGCGTAATTTACGCAGATACGCAGCTTATCTGTACCTCTGACCCAACATCTCTATACACACACAAAGAGCCCTGAACATATCGGCAAATGAACCAGCCAATGAAAGACTTCGTTACACTTAAGTGCACGCCCACCCGCTCTGACTGGGTTCGGTATCCCGGGTGCTTCGTTTCGAGGGAAGTAAACCCAAGTACAAAATATTGCACTTTTGATTTGCGATTGTACGCTTATAATTTTGGTTTATATGTTTTTTCATAATCAGCAATGTATATTATATGTCATGAATAAGTGATAATTGTGTTTTAATTATGTTTGTTTGTTTGGTTGCATGTGACCTTTAAGGAAGCTAACTTGCCTTTCATATTGAAATGTTTGTGTCACATAAAAGTGATACATCCACATAGCGACCCTTTGTTAATCTGATAGCGTTCCTTGAACTCAGTCCTACAGTGTTCGGAAGGGTCGTCTGTCCACTCAGATGCTGTGTTAGTAATGTGTTTGGTGAAAGCATTAGTGCGCCACTTGCTTATTTGTAGTCAGATTTAGTGTCGGGTTTGGGAAAAGATGGGTTTAGGAAATCAGACTTGCTATTTCTTAGACAGTGGCTACTATGGGGAGTAGACTTCAGAGTTAATGAAAAATTATAAGAAGTTATCATAATATAAAATGAATGCTAACCATGACAAAAAATATCAAAAGATTGACACCTCAGTCATGGCGATGTGTTTTTGTGTGTGTTGTTACCAATACCTGAAACAATGTTCAGAGCTAGTAGGTATCAAGTTTCTTATGAAAGTGACAACCAAATAAATGAACTGACTCCCAGTCTGTTGTAGTGAAGATGTACATACTTCAGAACACCCAACACATAAACGTTTGTAGCAATTTCACGACAGGTATGAACATGAGAGGTACTGTTTCTTGTGCTAAATCTATAACAGCAATTCCGAGTTTACAAGTGAGCTTGTGAAGTTTTATCATTTAGATGAGAAGGCCAGTCATAGGATTAAATATTTCTGGATTGTAACAAAATCTTGTGTTTCAATACAACGTGTTAATTATACCTTGTTATATTATTTACACTGATTTCATAATTCAGTAATGTCGTTCGGGGTTTACCTATGGGTTTCAATTCGGAATCAGCTGGTAACGTCGGTGTTAAGTAAAGAATGATATGTAATAAACTCTGTCAAAAAAGAAACGCAACCCCTGTATTTTAGAGATTTTGATCTGAAGTTTTAAGACGACACAGCATTGTTATTATTTAAGACAGAAGTCTGAAATTTGGCAGAATAATAACCAAGATGGGCATGTTTAAAATTGTCATTTCAAAAGTCATCTCACAGACACCAGTTTGTCACCAGGGGGGCGTCTTTCTCAGTATCTCGTATGAGCACCACGAGCTGCAATCACTGCACGGCATCTCCTTGGACAAGAACGGATAAGACGCCGGATTCTTTCCTGGGGAATGGCTCTCCACTCCTCCTGCAGTGCAACGCCGAGCTGTTGCAGCGTCTGTGGCGGCGGCTGACGTTGACGTACGCGTCGACCCAGAGTATCCACAGGTGTTCAATAGGGTTGAGGTCTGGTGATTTAGAGGGCTATGGCAAGACATTGACGTTGGAATTCTGCAGAAAGTTCATTGTTGCACGTGCAGTATGAGGCCGGGCGTTGTCTGGTTGAAAATCTGTGTCTGTTGGTCAATAATCGGGAGAAGGTGAGGCTGTAATACGTGGTTGATGTAACGTTGGGCTGTCAGGTTCCCTTCAACGATCACCAAGTCTGATTTCTGGTTGTATGAGATGGATCCCCAAACCATAACGCTTTCTCCGCCAAATCTGTCCCCTGTCGGACGCAGATGGGCGCAAAACGTTCATGACGTCTCCTATACACACGTTTTCTTCCGTCGTGATGTTGCAAAGAAAACAGGATTCATCAGAAAACCAGATGCGCCTCCAGTTTTGTAAAGTCCATATCCTTACGTTGTTGCACCACCTGAGTCGTCGGCGGAGATGTAGGGGCGTAGTACAGGTCCAACAACTGGTCTACAGGCACGTAAACCCGCTTCTTTCAGACGGTTCCTAATCGTTTGAGCTGACACTCTCCTCAAACCTGGTATTTGTGTGGCAGTCACGGTTGGTAGGGCATGCCGATTACGCAGGTGATGGACCCGGATGTACCGATCTTGAAGGGGGGTCGTGATTCTTGGCCTTCCACTTCTCGGGCGATCGTTGGTCAAATTGAAGTTGTTGTAGCGGCTCCAAAGTCGGGATATCGTTGTTTTGTGAACATTTAGGTGCCGTGCAACAGTTCCAAAACTTTCTCCGGCTTGAACACGACCAATGGCGATATTTCGGTCGGCAGCACTCAATCGTGGCATTTTTCACACAGCTTTTCGGCGACAAATGAATGACATATAATACGAAAGCACATGGGCTTTTATACACCCCTACATTAACTGCCATTTTCATGATTTGCATGTGTTTTTTTTGTGCGAAGTCACCATGAGGGTCATTTCATGCGTTGTGACGGAATAAGCAATAAAATACACTTATGCGTACAAATGCAGTTGTTTGGATGGTAATCTTCATTAATTACGTGTATAATTTCAATACATTCGAATAACATTTAGTTTGGAAGCAATAACTTCATTCAAACGAATTTTTCATATCTGAGGACAGGGGTTGCGTTTCTTTTTTGACAGAGTTTATATGTGGACGCACACATTAGTATGTACTTCAATACATAACAGCCAGAACATGTTTTATTTCAGCCGGAAAGTAGATTGCCTAGAAAATGGTATTGCAATAGTGGGCACATAGCGTTGACTCTAGGACGAGGGTGAAGATGAAGGCAATGGTTCATTAGTTTGTTGCAAATATAATGAAATCAGATAAAGGAGTATTTCGAACTACAATATTATGTTATACATTATTATATTATAAATATCCAAACTAAGACAGATTTATCTCATGTAATGTACCATCAGTCAGATACTAGTAACTCGTAACCTTTATTATAGTATAGCATTTAGAAATTCATCTTTATAAAGTATACAACCACTCGTCTATTGTTTACATTATGTGACAGGGTCCTGTGTCCTACAGTACTCAATATACCTAGTTGATATTTGATTTGATAGACGCGGGCCACAAACGCTCAGATTATGAGTGGTTATTTGTTCGAGCAGCGCAAAAGTATCTTGAAGACAAGCTCTCTTTCTCTGGATGAGTAATGAGCTGACCAGTTCAACTCATTTCCAATGACCAATATAGAAGAACATGGTGTTTTATTTAACGCTTATTCACCATTAGTCTCTCACCTTGGGATATCGACCGGCGGGAACAATATCAGGGTACTTGGCATCATCAATGACAGACATTGAGCACACTGAAACAACTCTCTTCAGAATCTTAGCGACCGAACAAACATCACCCTCTGCTGGAGTGTTGTGTCAATGAGTGTTTGTACATTACACATCGATTGAAGAAAGGAAGTTTCAAAGACGTTACGTCGAAATGTTGTTATCAATGCAATAAAAACAGCCTTTATCTGCACCACTCATTTACATGGCGTACAGGCGCGCTACCGACATAACATAAACACATCTGCTCCTGTTCACAACACATACTAAACAACAAAGGAAACACAAAAAGATGATTACATGGATTTGTTCTTTATTTGAGAGAGAGAGAGAGAGAGAGAGAGAGAGAGAGAGAGAGAGAGAGAGAGAGAGAGAGAGAGAGAGAGAGAGAGAGAGAGAGAGAGAGAGAGAGTCGGACGGACAGACAGAGTAAAAATTTAAGCGTAACTGTAAATTTCCTGCCTTTGTCCAGAGTTGTTTCAGCCATTATGTGGTCCTGTTCTCATGGCAGATGTCTTGTTTATATGTACATGGCGCTTTTCATGCTTCCTAACATCAATCGATGCAAATATTCTACACGTGACGAATTCTAGCGTTACATGTTCCCCAGTGGGACCGCCGCAACAAAACACGTATGGCTGGTCGATTGGATGAGGACAATATCCCTGAAGAGCAGCCGGCGCTGGCCCCGACAACGGCACAGATCGATTAGGCTCGGCGGGCGTTTTATCATCCCGGGTCTCATACTGCTATCGACACACCGACTACAGTTTCATAATCATAATTGCAATAGTCAATAAACGCGTGCCAATCATGAGTACCTTTGAGCTACCTGTTTGACCGAATATCTCCACACGTCCAACACTAAAACTAGGAATGACCTCTGTTTAGTCTGACTATTGATAATGACTCTTTATACGCGGTGAGCTTCCTAGAGACGAATGGAAATGAAAGTGCTCCTCGTATTTGTTTCTCCAGTATGATTAGACACAAATGTTGGACAACACCTGTTACGTTATTTGCTTAATATCGATCGTCCCTTGTGCGCATGCTCATCACAGGTATCGCCCTGCCCGTGCTGAGAAGTTGACTTGGAGCTGCAGGAGTCGACGCTGATACCCCCTCAGAAGATGGCGTGCAAACAAACACATGCCGCGAAACCTTCAGCAAACTTCCTACGTCAGTTTAGGGATTTAAAAACAAGGGATCTGAAACAAATATCAGCCACTCAGTTCATGGATGTGTGGAACCATTACGACAATGACGGTAAGTGTCCATGCCATTGCAAGTTTCAGGAAGCCAAGTCATGTGCTATTTGACAATCTGAACAAGTACTTCCTCAGTAATAACAAAAAAGTTGCAATACATTTTCTGCCCATAGTTTATGAGCCAGGGTCACCATATAGTCGTGGAGATAATTGTGTATGTAAATAGTATGCCAGATGACAAGGTAACAGAAGTCCTCGCTTCATAATCAATATATACATACATATATATTCACGTATACTGGACGACACTACCTGGGTAAGGGGAGTTTCACACAACCACTGACTCGTATACGCTACTGTGGTCTACTGGGCTTTGTGCTTTCATTGATTTTTTTGACTTGGCTTGAAAATCATTAGCAGACACCAGCAGACATTGTCATCTGCATAATGATAGATGGACTGGACTGCTAGTTTGTGGACTGTACTTGTTCTGACTTGATAAGCTCAATAAGGTGGACATCACGCCTGACAATATCCCTGCTGGGGAACATGCCTCCAGTATGGTAAACACTGTGTTTATGGCGGCAAAATGACGTGTCGTGGAACTAATGCCAAGTTTAATCAATGCGATGATAACTAGAACAAGTAATTACGGACATAATAACACTTGAATGGGATAATCAATGGTGGCAGCTGCTCTACACTAGCTAAGTTGATAACGACAGATATATGTTTATGAATGATTGTACAATAAGTGGAGTTGGGAGGGGAAGCTTGTATAGATTTGTTATCTACAAACAATGTAAACGTTGGCTGATACTGCCGTTGAGTATATATATTCATAACAGTCAATGCATGACACATCCCCGACGATTAATAGTTTTGGATTGTCCAAACAGAAGTGATTAATGCTTAAATCTAGTCCTTACACATGGTTTTCGAATGATAACATACATGATAATGCATGTGTATGTGCTATAAATATGCTATAATTACAAAAATAATGATAAATCCGTTGTGTGTGTTTAGGGAAACACATCCTATGTGATTCTACGATTGATTGTGTTATAATGCAGCCATCACGTGAGAGGGCGGTGTTGCCTCGTCGTGAATTCAGCTTCAGTCACAAGAATTGCTATAATTCCTGTAAAGCACCAGCATAGTTTGGGAGAAGATCACAGAAGATTCTAATTAGTGTACACGGACATACTTTTAAAACCACTCGAAGGTAGTAGTTGGTGTTGGTGCCAACTCGCACAGCCACCAGCCGTAATACTATGGTACAGTGTATCCATCCGTCACCTGTTTGGATAGTTGGTTTCTAACCCATACTCAAATCTTGACTTTGCAGCTACCTTTCTCAAGATGTACAGGTTTTCAAGAAACGAAAATGAGATTGGGGCATAACTGAACAAAGATTTGTAACTTGAATATGTAGAATTACACGTCCTTCGAATGAACACAGTGTGTGACAATGGACTGGTTGGCGGTGAAATCGAAGTTATCAACTTATATAGTTACGGAGCAAACACCCATGAGCACAGAGTGAAAGTCTACAAACTGACAACTGTAGTGGTATCTATGGTCTGTTATAGCTGATGTTTCTGAACGTGGTATACAAGGTCATGCTGTCTGTCCTGGTATCTGTGGTCTGTTATAGCTGATGTTTCTGAACGTGGTATACAAGGTCATGCTGTCTGTCCTGGTATCTGTGGTCTGTTATAGCTGATGTTTCTGAACGTGGTATACAAGGTCATGCTGTTTGTCCTGGTATCGGTGGTCGGTTATAGTTAATGTTTCTGAACGTGGTATACAAGGTCATGCTGTCTGTCCTGGTATCTGTGGTCTGTTATAGCTGATGTTTCTGAACGTGGTATGGAAGGTCATGCTGTTTGTCCTGGTATCGGTGGTCGGTTATAGTTAATGTTTCTGAACGTGGTATACAAGGTCATGCTGTCTGTCCTGGTATCTATGGTCTGTTATAGTTGATGTTTCTGAACGTGGTATACAAGGTCATGCTGTCTGTCCTGGTATCTGTGGTCTGTTATAGCTGATGTTTCTGAACGTGGTATACAAGGTCATGTTGTCTGTCCTGGTATTGGTGGTCGGTTATAGTTAATGTTTCTGAACGTGGTATACAAGGTCATGCTGTTTGTCCTGGTATTGGTGGTCGGTTATAGTTAATGTTTCTGAACGTGGTATACAAGGTCATGCTGTTTGTCCTGGTATCGGTGGTCTGTTATAGTTAATGTTTCTGAACGTGGTATACAAGGTCATGCTGTCTGTCCTGATATCGGTGGTCTGTTATAGTTAATGTTTCTGAACGTGGTATACAAGGTCATGCTGTCTGTCCTAGTATTGGTGGTCTGTTATAGTTAATGTTTCTGAACGTGGTATACAACGTCATGCTGTTGTAAATGGCATTGTGTAATCACGTCATGCTGTCTGTCCTGGTATCGGTGGTCTGTTATAGTTAATATTTCTGAGTGGTATACAATGCCTTGCTGTTTGGTATCGATGGCTTGTTATAGTTAAAGTTTATGTACGTAGTCAGATTGCAACAACATTCATTAATGGGCTGAGACCTAGAACATTCGTGGTGTAAGTATTTCTACTCAGAGAGTGCGTAGTCGTCTTAGTCTCCGCACACATCCGACCTACCCGACATCACAGGGGAACAAGCAGTGGTAGCCGGAGGAAGTACTAGTATTGGATTAGGCTGCAGACCATGTCAACTAGACAGACCAAGATTTGGTTCCAGTACCTTTCACTCATAGGGAGATCAAAGATCGTCCTGCCAGACTGTGACGGAGACAAAGAGGATCCTTAAGCAGCCGAACTTTTGTCAAGTATAGTAGAGCTGGGCTGGAGCGTGGCACGATAACAGGGGTGCGCCACGGGGGATGGCATCCTGGGTGTGTACGTGAGACGGACCAACCTTCAATGACAGTGTTGTTATCCTAGTCCTCATATCTCCGTTCGATCGAATACACGTGAACGAAGCTGCAGGCCGCTCACGACGCCCTGTCCATCCGGCAAATCTACAAGAACCAATGATATTACTGAAGTGTGATGCCCTTGGCAACCAACCAGACATTTATTGGGAGCATGCGACAACGGTACCAGGTTGTGATCATAATCTTACTCCCATTTGGATTATTGGTGGCCTGTTGTTTGGGTGGATCATGTCAACGTTTGGCTATTAGATATTCCTTTAAGCAATATTGTCTCTGGCTATTTCAACAGACACCCATTCTTTGACGCATTACCTTTCAAAATGATGACCCCGAGCAAGCTTTCGCTACTGTTCGCTTCCCACAGAAGACTTGGCTTCATTATATAAATATAGTGAATATCTGGGCTTACATTGTTCCCCATACACATCAGGGTGGTTATGATGAATCGATACATTTTTGTAATGTGTGTAGTAACACAATAGTAAATTTTAACAATGTATCTCACTCTCCATGCAGGTAACGGCTTTATCGAAGGTACGGAGCTGGATCAGTTCCTTTTCGAGCTTGTGACTAGCGTCAACTCCCAGGATGTCGGTCCAGAGGTGAGTCGGGCAGTCTGTAACACTGCACTCATCAACAAATAACCTTACCCTCATATCCATGACACGTCTCCTGTCACGCACACTCCCACCGAGGCAATATGTTAGGTTTTCATAATGATCTTATAATACATGTCACCTCTGTTTATGCTTTGATTGTATAATTATGTGTTGTGATGTAATATCGATGTATGCTTGTCGACATCAGCGGTACACTGGAACGATCCGTGTAACCTAGTGAGTGAGTGAGTTTAGTTTTACGCCGCACTCAGCAATAGTCCAGCTATATGGCGGCGGTCTGTCAATGATCGAGTCTGGACAGGACAACCCAGTGATCAACAGCATGAGCATCGATCTACGCAATTGTGATGCGATGACATGTGTCAACCGAGTCAGTGAGCCTGACCACCCGATCCCGTTAGTCGCCTCTTACGACAAGCATGGGTTACTGAAGACCAATTCTAATCCGGATCTTCACGGGTCCGTGTAACCCTTTCACAACTACCGGCGATGTTTCAAATTCAGATTGTTTTCAAAACCTACCTCGGCAGTAAAGGAGTGTATAATATATACAATCTATTTGTATTTTTACCCATCCTGCCCGGACGTGCTCAGTGGTGGAATGCTGAGGACTGCATTTTAGTGGTTTTTTGTTGCTGGGGGTAGCCAGGGACGAAACGTGCACGGTTTGGACGAGTGGTATCTCATGCTGAAAGACAAAACATGACCCAACCACGAGCATACGCAGCACAGATTTTTGCGCCAGTTTGTTGTCTCGGCAGTACTGTCCAGTGGCCTTTCCAAGGACAATAGGCAGCCATGTCAGTCAATATCATTACAGGCCTAACTCATGTCATGCAGTCTTAAGCTGATGATCGCCTGGTGTTCATCAGGACGACTTAAGGCACGTCCACGCTTGTCCAGGAAGTCCATAGACTCGATCATATGTATACATTACTCTTAGCGTTTCTCCGCTTCAAACACTATTACCTTCAGGCAACCATGTGTTGTTTTGAGGTCGCCGAGGAGATTAGCTGCATGCAAAATTTCTAATCGTGCGGTCAGCGGGCTCTGGTAGCCTGGCTCATGAGGACAGCGAGTTGGGCTGTTGGAAGGCTCGATTTCATCAAACCTATTTACGGATTCATCAAACCTTTAGGCAAAATCACTGGTCACACCATGTATATTTTGTATTTTATTTATTATTTGTACTTTATAATATTATCTAGTTTAGGGGAAATTATGTACTGTTATTTTGACCCAATGTGCGGCACGCCAGAGCTGAATGGCTCATCCCAACTTATGAAAAACGTGATATGAAGGATTGCTGGAGAGAAGGACCTACAATGTTAGAGTAAGAAACTTAAAGACACGAATATATGTTACTGATATCCATCCAAACTATTATATGTCATTGATCTTTCAGTTGTCATGTGCTACTTGTGTTATTGGCTTTGATCAATACAAATGAGTGTTACCTCTCTGTGATCGGTACACATATTGCAGGGAATATAAACATGAGAAGTGGACCACGTAGGGCAAATTGGGTCAGTTTGGCATACACCAGTAATAACTGACAGTGTAACTGGGTTATGCGCATTGTAAGATTACTTCGACGGACCCCATTATAGAGATTGCTACTTTTTAAAGGTCAGTTTTTTGTCATGATGAATCTGACCTTATCAACAGGTGGTGTCCCAGGCTGCCTTGGACGATGCAAAGGACCTCATGCTCAACGCCTTTGATGAAAATGGAGACGGCAAAATTGACATCACTGAGGTAAGAATAACAAGCACGCCGGCTGGCAGTATATATGATCTCAGACTCTTAATCACACTTATGCGAAGCTATATGGTCCCTCTGTTGGAGCTGTTTTTCACAGGACCAAAGGCAGCTCGACAGTATCCATGTAAATATCATGCTCATACAACAGTACTATCTCCTCCAGCTACCACTACATACATATCAGCTACAACAGTACTATCTCCTTCAGGTACCACCACATACATATCAGCTACAACAGTACTGTCTCCTCCAGCTACCACCACATACATATCAGCTACAACAGTACTATCTCCTCCAGCTACCACCACATACATATCAGGTACAACAGTACTGTCTCCTCCAGCTACCACCACATACATATCAGCTACAACAGTACTATGTCTCCTCCAGCTACCACCACATACATGCATATCAGCTACAACAGTACTATCTCCTCCAGCTACCACCACATACATATCAGCTACAACAGTACTATCTCCTCCAGCTACCACCACATATATCATATCAGCTACAACAGTACTATCTCCTCCAGCTACCCACCACATACATATCAGCTACAACAGTACTATCTCCTCCAGCTACCACCACATACATATCAGCTACAACAGTACTATCTCCTCCAGCTACCACCACATACATATCAGCTACAACAGTACTATCTCCTCCAGCTACCACCACATACATATCAGCTACAACAGTACTATCTCCTCCAGCTACCACCACATACATATCAGCTACAACAGTACTATCTCCCAGCAGCTACCACCACATACATATCAGCTACAACAGTACTATCTCCTCCAGCTACCACCACATACATATCAGCTACAACAGTACTATCTCCTCCAGCTACCAACCACATACATATCAGCTACAAACAGTACTATCTCCTCCTCCAGGTACCACCACATACATATCAGGTACAACAGTACTGTCTCCTCCAGCTACCACTACATACATATCAGCTACAACAGTACTATCTCCTCCAGCTACAACCACATGCATATCAGGTACAACAGTACTATCTCCTCCAGGTACCACCACATACATATCAGGTACAACAGTACTGTCTCCTCCACCTACCACCACATACATATCAGCTACAACAGTACTATCTCCTCCAGCTACAACTACATACATATAAGCTACAACAGTACTATCTCCTCCAGCTACCACTACATACGCATCAGCTACAACAGTACTATCTCCTCCAGCTACAACCAAATACATATCAGCTACAACAGTACTATCTCCTCCAGCTACAACTACATACATATAAGCTACAACAGTACTATCTCCTCCAGCTACCACCACATACATATCAGCTACAACAGTATTGTCTCCTCCACCTACCACCACATACATATCAGCTACAACAGTACTATCTCCTCCAGCTACCACTACATACATATCAGGTACAACAGTACTATCTCCTCCAGCTACCACCACATACATATCAGGTACAACAGTACTGTCTCCTCCAGCTACCACTACATACATATCAGCTACAGCCACAGTATCAGGTACAACAGTACTATATCTCCTCCAGCTACCACCACATACATATCAGCTACAACAGTACTATCTCCTCCAGCTACCACCACATACATATCAGGTACAACAGTACTGTCTCCTCCAGGTACCACTACATACATATCACCTACAACAGTACTATCTCCTCCAGCTACCACCACATACATATCAGCTACAACAGTACTGTCTCCTCCAGCTACCACCACATACATATCAGCTACAACAGTACTATCTCCTCCAGCTACCACCACATACATATCAGCTACAACAGTACTATCTCCTCCAGCTACCACCACATACATATCAGCTACAACAGTACTATCTCCCTCCAGCTACCACCACATACATATATCAGCTACAACAGTACTATCTCCCTCCAGCTACCACCACATACATATCAGGTACAACAGTACTATCTCCTCCAGCTACCACCACATACATATCAGCTACAACAGTACTATCTCCTCCAGCTACCACCACATACATATCAGCTACAACAGTACTATCTCCTCCAGCTACCACCACATACATATCAGGTACAACAGTACTATCTCCTCCAGCTACCACCACATACATATCAGCTACAACAGTACTATCTCCTCCAGCTACCACCACATACATATCAGCTACAACAGTACTATCTCCTCCAGCTACCACCACATACATATCAGCTACAACAGTACTATCTCCTCCAGCTACCACCACATACATATCAGGTACACAACAGTACTGTCTCCTCCAGCAGCTACCACCACATACATATCAGCTACAACAGTACTGTCTCCCTCCAGCTACCACCACATACATATCAGCTACAACAGTACTATCTCCTCCAGCTACCACCACATACATATCAGGTACAACAGTACTATCTCTGCCAGCTACCACCACATCTCCTCCAGCTACCACTACACCACATACATATCAGCTACAACAGTACTATCTCCTCCAGCTACCACCACATACATATCAGCTACAACAGTACTATCTCCTCCAGCTACCACCACATACATATCAGCTACAACAGTACTGTCTCCTCCAGCTACCACCACATACATATCAGCTACAACAGTACTGTCTCCAGCTACTCCAGCTACCACCACATACATATCAGCTACAACAGTACTATGTCCCTCCAGCTACCACCACATACATATCAGCTACAACAGTACTATCTCCTCCAGCTACAACCAAATACATATCAGCTACAACAGTACTATCTCCTCCAGCTACCACCACATACATATCAGCTACAACAGTACTATCTCCTCCAGCTACCACCAAATACATATCAGCTACAACAGTACTATCTCCTCCAGCTACCACCACATACATATCAGCTACAACAGTACTATCTCCTCCAGCTACCACCACATACATATCAGCTACAACAGTACTATCTCCTCCAGCTACCACCACATACATATCAGCTACAACAGTACTATCTCCTCCAGCTACCACCACATACATATCAGCTACAACAGTACTGTCTCCTCCAGCTACCACCACATACATATCAGCTACAACAGTACTGTCTCCTCCAGCTACCACTACATACGTATCAGCTACAACAGTACTATCTCCTCCAGCTACAACCAAATACATATCAGCTACAACAGTACTATCTCCTCCAGCTACCACCACATACATATCAGCTACAACAGTACTGTCTCCTCCAGCTACCACTACATACATATCAGCTACAACAGTACTATCTCCTCCAGCTACCACCACATACATATCAGGTACAACAGTACTATCTCCTCCAGCTACCACTACATACATATCAGCTACAACAGTACTATCTCCTCCAGCTACCACCACATACATATCAGGTACAACAGTACTATCTCCTCCAGCTACCACCACATACATATCAGCTACAACAGTACTATCTCCTCCAGCTACCACCACATACATATCAGCTACAACAGTATTATTTCCTCCAGGTACCACCACATACATATCAGGTACAACAGTACTATCTCCTCCAGCTACCACTACATACATATCAGCTACAACAATACGATCTCTTCCAGCTACTACAGTCACTGCCTAGTATCTGCGATTATTCTGTACACCACACTGTACACTCTCCATACTTCAGCCTGATTCAAATAACACGGCGCTATTTAAAACAGCCATCCAGGTGTGGTTTATGTTTCGCAACAGAGGTACATTCACGAGCACGTGTAGGTAGTCCAAGCTTGAGGTGGACTCGGACATGGATTTCTAGTCTCTCAATTGTAATTGTATTCACCAACAGTTACTGGCAACATTTGTGTGCTTTCAGTTAGCCCAGATTCTGCCGATGGAGGAGAATTTTCTGTTGTTATTTCGGCATGAACATCCTTTAGAATCCAGCGTAGAGTTCATGAAGGTAGGTGTAAACTTCCCTTAACGATTGAAAATACAACGTGGTGTTGTCAAAAGTTGGTATAAACACCCCTTAACATGTTGATAATACAACGTGGTGTTGACGAAGGTTGGTATAAACACCCCTTAACATGTTGATAATACTACGTGGTGTTGACGAAGGTTGGTATAAACATCCCTTAACATGTTGATAATACAACGTGGTGTTGATGAAGGTTGATGTAAACATCCCTTAACATGTTGATAATACAACGTGGTGTTGACGAAGGTTGGTATAAACATCCCTAACATGTTGATAATACAACGTGGTGTTGATGAAGGTTGATGTAAACATCCCTTCACATGTTGATAATACAACGTGGTGTTGACGAAGGTTGGTATAAACATCCCTTCACATGTTGATAATACAACGTGGTGTTCATTAAGGTTGGTATAAACATCTCTTCACATGTTGATAATACAAAGTGGTGTTGACGAAGGTTGGTATAAACATCCCTTAACATGTTGATAATACAACGTGGTGTTCATTAAGGCTGGTATAAACATCCCTTCACATGTTGATAATACAACGTGGTGTTGACGAAGGTTGGTATAAACATCCCTTAACATGTTGATAATACTACGTGGTGTTCATTAAGGCTGGTATAAACACCCCTTAACATGTTGATAATACAGCGTGGTGTTGACGAAGGTTGGTATAAACATCCCTTCACATGTTGATAATACAACGTGGTGTTGACGAAGGTTGGTATAAACATCCCTTCACATGTTGATAATACAACGTGGTGTTGACGAAGGTTGGTATAAACATCCCTTAACATGTTGATAATACAACGTGGTGTTGACGAAGGTTGGTATAAACATCCCTTAACATGTTGATAATACTACGTGGTGTTCATTAAGGCTGGTATAAACATCCCTTCACATGTTTATAATACAACGTGGTGTTGACAAAGGTTGGTATAAACATCCCTTCACATGTTGATAATACAACGTGGTGTTGACGAAGGTTGGTATAAACATCCCTTAACATGTTGATAATACAACGTGGTGTTGACGAAGGTTGGTATAAACACCCCTTAACATGTTGATAATACTACGTGGTGTTGATGAAGGTTGATGTAAACATCCCTTAACATGTTGATAATACAACGTGGTGTTGACGAAGGTTGGTATAAACATCCCTTCACATGTTGATAATACAACGTGGTGTTGATGAAGGTTGATGTAAACATCCCTTCACATGTTGATAATACAACGTGGTGTTGACGAAGGTTGGTATAAACATCCCTTCACATGTTGATAATACAACGTGGTGTTCATTAAGGTTGGTATAAACATCTCTTCACATGTTGATAATACAAAGTGGTGTTGACGAAGGTTGGTATAAACATCCCTTAACATGTTGATAATACAACGTGGTGTTCATTAAGGCTGGTATAAACATCCCTTCACATGTTGATAATACAACGTGGTGTTGACGAAGGTTGGTATAAACATCCCTTAACATGTTGATAATACTACGTGGTGTTCATTAAGGCTGGTATAAACACCCCTTAACATGTTGATAATACAGCGTGGTGTTGACGAAGGTTGATATAAACATCCCTTCACATGTTGATAATACAACGTGGTGTTGACGAAGGTTGGTATAAACATCCCTTCACATGTTGATAATACAACGTGGTGTTGACGAAGGTTGGTATAAACATCCCTTAACATGTTGATAATACAACGTGGTGTTGACGAAGGTTGGTATAAACATCCCTTAACATGTTGATAATACTACGTGGTGTTCATTAAGGCTGGTATAAACATCCCTTCACATGTTTATAATACAAAGTGGTGTTGACAAAGGTTGGTATAAACATCCCTTCACATGTTGATAATACAACGTGGTGTTGACGAAGGTTGGTATAAACATCCCTTAACATGTTGATAATACTACGTGGTGTTCATTAAGGCTGGTATAAACATCCCTTAACATGTTGATAATACAACGTGGTGTTGACGAAGGTTGGTATAAACATCCCTTCACATGTTGATAATACAACGTGGTGTTGACGAAGGTTGGTATAAACATCCCTTAACATGTTGATAATACAACGTGGTGTTGACGAAGGTTGGTATAAACATCCCTTAACATGTTGATAATACAACGTGGTGTTGACAAAGATTGGTATAAACATCCCTTCACATGTTGATAATACTACGTGGTGTTGACGAAGGTTGGTATAAACATCCCTTAACATGTTGATAATACAACGTGGTGTTGACGAAGGTTCGTATAAACATCCCTTAACATGTTGATAATACTACGTGGTCTTCATTAAGGCTGGTATAAACATCCCTTCACATGTTTATAATACAACGTGATGTTGACAAAGGTTGGTATAAACATCCCTTCACATGTTGATAATACAACGTGGTGTTGACGAAGGTTGGTATAAACATCCCTTAACATGTTGATAATACTACGTGGTGTTCATTAAGGCTGGTATAAACATCCCTTCACATGTTGATAATACAACGTGGTGTTGACGAAGGTTGGTATAAACATCCCTTAACATGTTGATAATACAACGTGGTGTTGACGAAGGTTGGTATAAACATCCCTTAACATGTTGATAATACAACGTGGTGTTGACGAAGGTTGGTATAAACATCCCTTAACATGTTGATAATACTACGTGGTCTTCATTAAGGCTGGTATAAACATCCCTTCACATGTTTATAATGCAACGTGATGTTGACAAAGGTTGGTATAAACATCCCTTCACATGTTGATAATACAACGTGGTGTTGACGAAGGTTGGTATAAACATCCCTTAACATGTTGATAATACTACGTGGTGTTCATTAAGGCTGGTATAAACATCCCTTCACATGTTGATAATACAACGTGGTGTTGACGAAGGTTGGTATAAACATCCCTTAACATGTTGATAATACAACGTGGTGTTGACGAAGGTTGGTATAAACATCCCTTAACATGTTGATAATACAACGTGGTGTTGACGAAGGTTGGTATAAACATCCGTTAACATGTTGATAATACAACGTGGTGTTGACGAAGGTTGGTATAAACATCCCTTAACATGTTGATAATACAACGTGTTGTTGACGAAGGTTGGTATAAACATCCCTTCACATGTTGATAATACTACGTGGTGTTGACGAAGGTTGGTATAAACATCCCTTAACATGTTGATAATACAACGTGGTGTTGACGAAGGTTGGTATAAACATCCCTTAACATGTTGATAATACTACGTGGTGTTCATTAAGGCTGGTATAAACATCCCTTCACATGTTGATAATACAACGTGGTGTTGACGAAGGTTGGTATAAACATCCCTTAACATGTTGATAATACAACGTGGTGTTGACGAAGGTTGGTATAAACATCCCTTAACATGTTGATAATACAACGTGGTGTTGACGAAGGTTGGTATAAACATCCCTTCACATGTTGATAATACTACGTGGTGTTAACGAAGGTTGGTATAAACATCCCTTAACATGTTGATAATACAACGTGGTGTTGACGAAGGTTGGTATAAACATCCCTTAACATGTTGATAATACTACGTGGTGTTCATTAAGGCTGGTATAAACATCCCTTCACATGTTGATAATACAACGTGGTGTTGACGAAGGTTGGTATAAACATCCCTTAACATGTTGATAATACAACGTGGTGTTGACAAAGGTTGGTATAAACATCCCTAACATGTTGATAATACTACGTGGTGTTCATTAAGGCTGGTATAAACATCCCTTCACATGTTGATAATACAACGTGGTGTTGACGAAGGTTGGTATAAACATCCCTTAACATGTTGATAATACAACGTGGTGTTGACAAAGGTTAGTATAAACATCTCTTCACATGTTGATAATACAACGTGGTGTTGACGAAGGTTGGTATAAACATCCCTTAACATGTTGATAATACAACGTGGTGTTCATTAAGGCTGGTATAAACATCCCTTCACATGTTGATAATACAACGTGGTGTTGACGAAGGTTGGTATAAACATCCCTTAACATGTTGATAATACAACGTGGTGTTGACGAAGGCTGGTATAAACATCCCTTCACATGTTGATAATACAACGTGGTGTTGACGAAGGTTGGTATAAACATCCCTTAACATGTTGATAATACAATGTGGCGTTGACGAAGGTTTGGTTAGACGATCTATCAGTACAGTGATTTACGGGGATTTTAGTGGAGAAATGTTATTTTAGCATCTGAATACCCAGATATGTTTTTAGCCTGGTTTATGTTTTTGTTTGTGTTTATCTCCAGATCTGGCGCCAGTATGACACTGACCACAGCGGCTACATTGAGGCAGACGAACTCAAGGTAGGAGACAAAACATCTGCATATCGTGGGAAGTGCAAGCATTGGGTTTTTGTTTGGAGTCAGAGAAAATAAAATCACATTATACTTGGCGTTTCACATTTTCCCTGTGACTGTTGGTTTGGGATTTATTTATATTTTTGCTTGTTTCAGAATTTTCTTTACGACCTACTCAAGCAGTCCAAAAAGGAAAGAGAAGTTTCTGAAGAACAGCTCATCACATACGCTGATACGATGGTATGTCGCTAGGACAGCTCATGGCATAGGCGGTTACGTTGTTACGTACTAGGACAGCTCATGACATAGGCGGTTACGTTGTTGCGTACTAGGACAGCTCATGGCATAGGCGGTTATGTTGTTGCGTACTAGGACAGCTCATAGCATAGGCGGTTACGTTGTTATGTACTAGGACAGCTCATGGCATAGGCGGTTACGTTGTTACGTACTAGGACAGCTCATGGCGTAGGCGGTTACGTTGTTAGGTACTAGGACAGCTCATGGCATATGCGGTTACGTTGTTATGTACTAGGACAGCTCATGACATAGGCGGTTACGTTGTTATGTACTAGGACAGCTCATGGCATAGGCGGTTACGTTGTTACGTACTAGGACAGCTGATGGCATATGCGGTTACGTTGTTACGTACTAGGACAGCTGATGGCATATGCGGTTACGTTGTTATGTACTAGGACAGCTCATGGCATAGGCGGTTACGTTGTTGCGTACTAGGACAGCTGATGGCATATGCGGTTACGTTGTTATGTACTAGGACAGCTCATGGCATAGGCTGATGTTACATACGTTCATTATATAAACAGTTGTCCTAGAATATCGATTATAACTCAGTCACTCACCTCATCTACAAAATGAATAAAGCATTGTTTCAACAATCATCATTTTCATGACAGCAGCAAAGCGATATTGTTGTGTTCATCAATACATTTGTCTGTGTAAAACTAATTGCACTTATCGTTATGGTAGAGTGCACCCTCGACTGTCTCCACTGCGTGTCACCATGGTGACGACAGTCGTTAAACTCAATACATGATGATATACCACCTTTAGTAATCCATATTTACTCTACTAAATAAAACTTTCTAGGCAATTTTTTTAATGTTAAGTTCATCAATAATTAGTTTCAATCATTGTCCCCATTATTCAATGGAAATGTGGCATTTCAATTAAGATTCTTAAGGATAAGCTTTCGATTCCTAAGTGGAACGAATAACATCTGCAGCTGAGTGCAATCTACCTTTGTATCCATTGACCAACAAAACAAGAACAGTGTGTCTGGAAGACCTTCTCCCTGCGGAACCGAATGGCTTCACATGTAATGTGTTGACACCTGTTACAGAAGTCAGTGCGTGACTCAGAGATGTATTATTATAATAGATGTAACAGAAGTCAATGCATCACTCTACCATGTCCAGATGTTACAGCAATAAACGGTCAGTGTGTCACAGTCGTCTCCTGATTTTACATCTGTTACAGATTTCAGAGCGTAACACAGACATGACATGTCATCACATCTGTTAGAGAGAACAGTGTGTCACTCAGGCATGACATGTCATCACATCTGTTACAGAAGACAGTGTGTCACACAGACATGATATGTCATCACATCTGTTGCAGAGGACAGTGTGTCACACAGACATGATATGTCATCACATCTATTACAGAGGACAGTGTGTCACACAGACATGACATGTCATCACATCTATTACAGATTACAGTGTCACACAGACATGACATGTCAGTTAGAGAGGACAGTGTGTCACACAGACATGATATGTCATCACATCTGTTACAGAGGACAGTGTGTCACACAGACATGATATGTCATCACATCTGTTACAGATTACAGTGTCACACAGACATGACATGTCAGTTAGAGAGGACAGTGTGTCACACAGACATGACATGTCATCACATCTGTTACAGAGGACATTGTGTCACACAGACATGATATGTCATCACATTTGTTACAGAGGACAGTGTGTCACACAGACATGATATGTCATCACATCTGTTGCAGATTACAGTGTGTCACACAGTCTATTCCTATTTCTCAAAAAACGAACGAACACGAAACTCGATGATGAAACAAAACGATCAAATATCATCAGCTAGAATCACCAATACCCAACCTATTTGTGTGTCAATGTCACCTTATGTGACCTTATGGTCCCTCAGTTTCACACTGCAATGTGTGGCGAGAAACAACAGAAAACCAACATATAGTTATAGATGATAGTCCAGTATAGTCCAGTGTGCGTGTGTGCGTGCGTGCGTACGTACGTGCGTGTGTGTGTGTGTGCGCGTGCGTGCGTGCGTGTGTGTATGTGTGTGTGTATGTAACCATTTTCTTCCTCTGCATGTTGAATCTTAGCCATAGCCTTGTGAATAAGGAATTATACTGTATCCAGATTTACAAAAAATGTTCCTTCTATTATTTGCAGATGGTCTTATATTTATGTGTGAAGACAACTAGTGCCACAGTAGGAATTCATTATACTCTCATCGTTTAAAAATCAATGGCAATTAAATTTCGAACTGTTCAATTCTAGGGTTATTGTATTCCTTTGGGCGGTTTTGTAAGACGAAGTAGGAAGTATCCCTTCAGTTATAGAGTTGATGATGTCGTGTGGACATTCATCCGGAAATGTGTCGTTATCCAAAGATCGATGCAACTGAATATATTTCTTTGTTTGTAAAAGGTATGATAGATACAGGTACATCAATTTTGATTGCATGGGTCAAATCTTTAACAACAGGCACGCACACACTTGCCTGTACAATCATGTGGTGGTAATCGTCGAGGTGGTGTAGCGATAAGAAGCAGTCGTATTTGTAGTAGTTATGAGAGTAGTATTAGTTGTGGTGATAGTAAAAACAAATTTGTAGCAGAAGCAGTAGCAGTAGCCGTAGCAATGGTATTAGCAGTACTTAATCCTGTTTTCGTCTTGATTGTCTTGCAGCTTCAGATGTTTGACCGGAACAAAGATGGGAAGCTACAACTGAGTGAAATGGCAAAGTAAGTAAGGTATTTCGATGATTTCAGTAAAAAGCTATGTTCTCAGATATGAGAAACATGTAAACACCCACAGACGAATGGATTAGTAGGTGAGAGAAACACAGAAATACCCACAGCATAGTGGGATAGTAGCTTAAAGAAACACGTAAATAGGAGCTGGATTGTACCTAAGGAAAACACGGAAGTAGATACAGAGGAAGGAACTTGAGAGATACGTAAATACCAACAGAGGAGCTGGATTGTACCTAAGGAAAACACAGAAGTAGATACAGAGGAAGGATCTTGAGAGATACGTACATACCCACATAGGAGCTGGATTGTACCTAAGGATAACACGGAAGTAGATACAGAGGAAGGAGCTTGAGAGATACGTAAATACCAACAGAGGAGCTGGATTGTATCTAAGGAAAACACGGAAGTAGATACAGAGGAAGGATCTTGAGAGATACGTAAATACCCATATAGGAGCTGGATTGTATCTAAGGAAAACAGGGAAGTAGATACAGAGGAAGGAGCTTGAGAGGTACGTAAATACCAACAGAGGAGCTGGATTGTACCTAAGGAAAACACGGAAGTAGATACAGAGGAAGGATCTTGAGAGATACGTAAATACCAACAGAGGAGCTGGATTGTATCTAAGGAAAACACGGAAGTAGATGCAGAGGAAGGAACTTGAGAGGTACGTTAATACCCATATAGGAGCTGGATTGTATCTAAGGAAAACAGGAAAGTAGCCCCAGAGGAGCCAGAATGAAGTTGAAAGTAAAGTAAATACCCACAAAGGAGCTGGACTGTACCGAGCGTAGCACTTTAGGGAAACACGGACATGCCTGCAGACGAGTAAGGAAGCAGCTAACAAGCAGAAACATGGAAATAACCACAAAAGGCCTGGAGTTACACAAAAATAGTCGCAGGAAGCAGCTAGGATAGATGGAAATACTTGGGCAACATGGGCTTGTAGGTGACGATGAGGCAGGTGGAAATACTTGGGCAACATGGGCTTGTAGGTGACGATGAGGCAGTTGGAAATACTTGGGCAACATGGGCTTGTAGGTGTCGATGAGGCAGGTGGACATACTTAGGCAACATTGGGTTGTAGGTGACGATGAGGCAGGTGGAAATACTTGGGCAACATTGGGTTGTAGGTGACGATGAGGCAGGTGTACATACTTGGGCAACATTGGGTTGCAGGTGACAATGAGGCAGGTGGACATACTTGGGCAAAGTGGGCTTGTAGGTGACGATGAGGCAGGTGGAAATACTTGGGCAACATGGGCTTGTAGGTGACGATGAGGCAGGTGGAAATACTTGGGCAACATTGGGTTATAGGTGACGATGAGGCAGATGGAAATACGAGGGCAACATTGGGTTATAGGTGACGATGAGGCAGGTGTACATACCTGGGCAACATTGGGTTGTAGGTGACGATGAGGCAGATGGAAATACGAGGGCAACATTGGGTTATAGGTGACGATGAGGCAGGTGGACATACTTGGGCAACATTGGGTTGTAGGTGACGATGAGGCAGGTGGAAATACCTGGGCAACATTGGGTTGTAGGTGACGATGAGGCAGGTTGAAATACCTGGGCAACATTGGGTTGTAGGTGACGATGAGGCAGGTTGAAATACCTGGGCAACATTGGGTTGTAGGTGACGATGAGGCAGCTTGAAATACCTGGGCAACATTGGGTTGTAGGTGACGATGAGGCAGGTGGACATACTTGGGTAACATTGGGTTGTAGGTGACGATGAGGCAGGTTGAAATACCTGGGCAACATGGACTTGTAGTTGACGATGAGGCAGGTTGAAATACCTGGGCAACATTGGATTGTAGGTGACGATGAGGCAGGTGGACATACTAGGGCAACATTGGGTTGTAGGTGACGATGAGGCATGTTGAATTTCGAGGGCAATATTGGGTTGTAGGTGACGATGAGGCAGGTGGAAAAACGAGGGCAACATTGGGTTGTAGGTGACGATGAGGCAGGTGAAAATACGAGGGCAAAGTGGGCTTGTAGGTGACGATGAGGCAGATGGAAATACGAGGGCAACATTGGGTTATAGGTGACGATGAGGCAGGTGGAAATACGAGGGCAACATTGGGTTGTAGGTGACGATGAGGCAGGTTGAAATACCCGGGCAACATTGGGTTGTAGGTGACGATGAGGCAGGTGAAAATACGAGGGCAAAGTGGGCTTGTAGGTGACGATGAGGCAGATGGAAATACAAGGGCAACATTGGGTTGTAGGTGACGATGAGGCAGGTGGAAATACGAGGGCAACATTGGGTTGTAGGTGACGATGAGGCAGGTTGAAATACTTGGGCAACATTGGGTTGTAGGTGACGATGAGGCAGGTGGAAATGCTTGGGCAACATTGGGTTGTAGGTGACGATGAGGCAGGTTGAAATACCTGGGCAACATTGGGTTGTAGGTGACGATGAGACAGGTTGAAATACCTGGGCAACAGTGGGTTGTAGGTGACGATGAGGCAGGTGGAAATATCTGGGCAACATTGGGTTGTAGGTGACAATGAGGCAAGTGGAAATACGAGGCCAACATTGGGTTGTAGGTGACGATGAGGCAGGTGGTAATACCTGGGCAACATTGGGTTGTAGGTGACAATGAGGCAGGTGTAAATACCTGGGCATCATTGGGTTGTATGTAATGGTGAGATAAATGGAAATACCTGTGAAATATTCAAGGTCCATTTTGGTTTGTAGTGGATAAAGATATAGATGGGTTGTAGGTAATTGTGAGATAGATTGGATTGGGTAACATGGTGTTGCAGGTGATGAATTGCGGCCACCAAGGAAGGGGCAAAAGAACGTTATCACCGACTTCACTTGACCACTTGACCAAAAATAGTAACAAAGACATATGTGAGATTTATCATAATTATTTTACAAACAGAAATCATTTTCCAATAATTTGACTAAAACTTCATTGTAATACTGGGCTTGCATTTGCCGCAATTCATTAAGAAAGACTCAAGGGGTCCAAGATCAGGGCTAAGACACACGTTAACGTTGTGCAGGTATTCTCAAACAATTCTGGCTGTGTGATGCCTTGCGTAGTCATGCTGCAAAATGACTCCTCTTGGCTGTTGTCGAACTAAGGGCACCACAAAACATCTCAACATTTCATCCCTGTATGGCCGGACATTCAGTTTTCATTTGTTGTTCTCAGGCCACATATGCCGCCCCATACCATGACGCCCCCTCCATCTAACAGATGAACTTCTGAACGCAGTTTGGCCCCAGTTGCTCACCTTTACGTCGTCTGTTATCCGTTCTTAACAGACTGAACTGACTTTCATCTTTATAAACTACTCTCTCTCTCTCTCTCTCTCGTCAACGTCGCTGTCACCGACGTACAGTTCGTGCCATTGCAGTCTGCGTTAACGATGTAGACCAGTCAAGGCCATTCCAAGGAAGGGGCGGTAGGATCGTATACCAGCCATACCAAGTCCTCGAAGGACTGTGCGTCTGTTGATGGCGTGTCCTAGTACTGTCGCCGTCACGAATCTATTCTGGAGGTGTATCTGCCGGATGTAGCGGGCTTCGGCCGATGTCGTGAATCTTGGTCTTCCCCCCATCTTGGGCGGTCCTGGTCTGGCCTGTTTGCTGGTAGCGGTTTATCAATTTGCTGATGGTGACCTGCAGGCTGACGTTGTGGTGCCCCCGTATCGGCCATGCCGATCACCCTGTTTCGTTGCCCTTGCGTAACTCTTGACATATTCGTGATGGTTTTGTTTTGGTTACTGCATGCTTGACCAACAATCATGCCACAATCATGCACGTGCATTTGGACCAATGTCCCACATTTACGTTTTTCACTTTTAATGCACGATTCGTACGAAGTTTTTGGACAGCTGCATTGTTATCTGGACCGTGTTGCGTTTTTGTGAATGTTTTCTGCTTGGGTTCAAACCTGTGCCAGTATTTTTGTTTTTTATACAATTATTTTAAAAGTGGTAACTTTCTTTTTGCCCGGTAGTTTACATCTAACTAGCTGACTGCCGATCAAGTTCTGCCAAAACCGTAGAGAATATATTCAGACTTAAGCATGTATCATGACATATGTGTACATATGTATGTATTTGATTACCATTTCACTGCAGATGATAATGATGATTATGATTGTTTACATATTATATCAAATATTAACACATAAAAGTGACAAAAACGCTTTGTTTCAGACTTCTACCAGTGAAAGAAAACTTCCTTTGTAGACCGATTTTCAAAGTGAGTATGGCAGTCTTATTCCTTTTCTGAAGACAGGAATTGCTGTGGAGAGCGAAATCACAGGATCCAATTATCATTTGTTCGAATCGGACTTATAGTCATCGTTTTGTCAGCACGATATACCTGCTCGTGGGTTGCCCAATATCTAGTATCAACTATTCTAGGAAAACGGATGGTTTTCCACATTTAGCTATTGCAGTACATTCCTTGTGTTTCTTCTGATCACAGAGTGCCTCTACACTGACAAAGGAAGACGTGGAGCAGGTGTTCGCCTTATACGACAGGGTGAGGTCATCTTGTAATCTTTGCTTGGCTATGTCTTACGTTGGTAACACCTGTGTATAAAACACACCACTTACTGGAATGGGATAGTATGTGTAACCCATTACATTATGTGTTGTGTTTATACATTAAAGGTAAACGCTTTGTTTACTTCAGTATGTGTGTGTGTCTCTCTCACATTTACTACTCATGGTTTGCTAAGGATCACCGCTTTAAAAGGTAATGAGTCACATCTTGTGCATCTGTTGAACTAGACAAGACAATATTGACTCATACTCTCCCGTACGTGTCTGCACACTTCCCTGATGGACATTGTTCCACCCTGCAGTAACAGTATTGTTGAGTTTGTGGACCTGGTTCCATATATGTTCGATACAGCCTTGGTCTGGTGAACCAGCAGACCTCTCCGAGCGTCCATTGCTCTCTTGAAGTAGTACAGCGTTAATGATTCACTGGGATGAAGTCCGTTTGATCTAGTGTACGGTCTCTACAGACTGCAATGGCGGTCACGTTTGGCTACGCTGAACGCTTTCTCCATGTCTCCACCACACTCGGGCACGACAATCTGTGAACTCTTGATCATGGGAGCCCAGTCCTAGTCTGTCCAACCAAAGACGTATATAAATATACGTCCTTGCTCCAACTGGCAATCCCTATCCAAACGTGCCTTCGTGTGATCAGTGGGTCAGCGGTATGTGAATGCATGCCCTCCTTGAGCGAAGACCAGAGAGGACTACGCACTGTAGAAAGTTTAGCGCCGCTTGCTTCAAGCAGAAGGTACATTTCTTCCCGCTGTGAGGTCGAACACCTGTGTCGATGACCAGCTTGTCGCCAAGCAACTGATCCAAGCGTCTGGTATCGATTCCATGTCCAGATCACACTTGTACCGACAAAAGAGACGATTCAACGTGACATTTGTGTTGACCAGGTCTCAAGCATTCTATGCATCTGAATAATTCTTCTGTCTTTAACTCTGAGGGGGCATACAGCATTCAGTTGTTTCAATTATCAGTAGCACATGCTGTTTTTCTTTCTGATATGATGTATAACGATTCTGTTGCCATACGTCAAAACACAAGGACCTCGTGTCCATGACACCACATGCTTCTGTCCGCTTCTCAGGAAACTAAGGTCCCGTACAGGTTACCCAGTCATTGCATAGGGGTAAGTTTAAACGTTATATTTTAGAACAAACCGTTGCATGCCAGTCCTAGGGACTGATCAGAATGCTGGAGTTGAGTTATGTTGTTTGTGATGCAGGACCATAATGAAACGATCGAGAATGATGAACTGCATGGGTTCCTGAAGGATTTGATGGAACTGGTTCAAGAAGTAAGCTATATTTTATGTCTTTATCTTTAATTTATATAACCATTTCTTCTTATGCTCTGATGTGAATTACATGTCTCATTAATATATGTTTATACACACTATTCTCGACATGTAATTCCACTGTCCCTTTGAAAGTGATCTTTGTTTGTGCCCAACGATCAAAATAATAATCTCATGATCTTTTGAGTTGTGTTATTTCTTTCAAGGATTACGACGCGGATGATTTGGCTGACTTGAAAGACTTACTGCTATTCTCCTGTGAAAACAAGGAGGGCAAAATTAACAAGGAGGAGCTGACAGTTGTTCTGATGAACAGACAAGAAGAGTGCCGTAAAGGACTTGCGGCATCCATAAGCCAGGATCCCAACTGACAAGCAGATCTACCATGGCCTTCATTATGACAGCTCTTCCATGCAACATGCACCTGTTTATAACCCTGGTTCAGTGTGACAGCTGTAGGTGAACTGTGTCCGTGCTGTACGTTTGACCTATAGTCAGCTGTGAGGACTGAACCACTTACTCGGATAATTGTGCCTACCTTTACACACTGCTACATGGCGTGGGTTTTTCTTCACGAATTCCTCCCATACTGAACTTCTTTCAATTAAAACACAGTATGTGCTGCTTCAAGCGTGTGACTCTTTGGGTGATGTGCATATATTTTATTTGCTTTCCAACAAACCATACAGTTCTTAAATGTTGAATAAATTGATATGAAAAGAATCCGAGAATTTGTAATCGGCTATCAAAGAGTGGTATTGTGTGAGGGAAACTAAACATTGCGACAAGAAGAAATGCTCCCTTTATAGTCTCTGTGCATGTATGTTATGAACAACGAGGAGAGTTCTATGAATATACAAGCAAGTGATGTACAATACTGAAGGCAAGGCTATAGCGGTGTTAGTAGCTACACCGAAACGTAATTTTAAAGAAGTTGTATATCCATAGAACTCTCCTCGTTGTTCATTACACCAACTTCTAAAATGCCACTCAAAGAATGATATGTATGCTTGACACAAAGCGGCGAAGAAACTCCATATGTCAGACAACTCAAACGTCTGCGTCTATGTAGAATGGATATACACTACATACATTATTATTATTTTTATTATATGGGTATTTATATAGCGCTATAGTCCATCCTATGTGCATGCTCAAAGCGGTTTGTTTTCTCCATCGATCATTGGATGATAATCTTAACGACACATCGTATTTTTCAATCATAGGCTTCATACAACTCGTGCTGACGTTGCCCTTTAGTGGCTCAGACACCCACTGGCTACACATAAAGTGGCTCAGACACTGTATACACTGTATACACTACACGTAAAGTGGATCAGACACACTGGTATGTAGACACTGTATACACTACAGACACACTGTAAACACTGTATACACTACACACGTAAAGTGGATCAGACACACTGGTATGTAGACACTGTATACACTACACACGTAAAGTGGATCAGACACACTGGTATGTAGACACTGTATACACTACACACGTAAAGTGGATCAGACACCCTGGTATGTAGACACTGTATACACTACACACGTAAAGTGGATCAGACACACTGGTATGTAGACACTGTATACACTACACACGTAAAGTGGATCAGACACACTGGTATGTAGACACTGTATACACTACACACGTAAAGTGGATCAGACAACCTGGTATGTAGACACTGTATACACTACACACGTAAAGTGGATCAGACACACTGGTATGTAGACACTGTATACACTACACACGTAAAGTGGATCAGACACACTGGTATGTAGACACTGTATACACTACACACGTAAAGTGGATCAGACACACTGGTATGTAGACACTGTATACACTACACACGTAAAGTGGATCAGACACACTGGTATGTAGACACTGTATACACTACTACACGTAAAGTGGATCAGACACACTGGTATGTAGACACTGTATACACTACACACGTAAAGTGGATCAGACACACTGGTATGTAGACACTGTATACACTACACGTAAAAAGTGGATCAGACACACTGGTATGTAGACACTGTATACACTACACGTAAAGTGGATCAGACACACTGGTATGTAGACACTGTATACACTACACACGTAAAGTGGATCAGACACACTGGTATGTAGACACTGTATACACTACACACACGTAAAGTGGATCAGACACACTGGTATGTAGACACTGTATACACTACACACGTAAAGTGGATCAGACACACTGGTATGTAGACACTGTATACACTACACACGTAAAGTGGATCAGACACACTGGTATGTAGACACTGTATACACTACACACGTAAAGTGGATCAGACACACTGGTATGTAGACACTGTATACACTACACACGTAAAGTGGATCAGACACACTGGTATGTAGACACTGTATACACTACACACGAAAAGTGGATCAGACACACTGGTATGTAGACACTGTATACACTACACACGTAAAGTGGATCAGACACCCTGGTATGTAGACACTGTATACACTACACACGTAAAGTGGATCAGACACACTGGTATGTAGACACTGTATACACTACACACGTAAAGTGGATCAGACACACTGGTATGTAGACACTGTATACACTACACACGTAAAGTGGATCAGACACACTGGTATGTAGACACTGTATACACTACACACGTAAAGTGGATCAGACACACTGGTATGTAGACACTGTATACACTACACACGTAAAGTGGATCAGACACCCTGGTATGTAGACACTGTATACACTACACACGTAAAGTGGATCAGACACACTGGTATGTAGACACTGTATACACTACACACGTAAAGTGGATCAGACAACCTGGTATGTAGACACTGTATACACTACTACACGTAAAGTGGATCAGACACACTGGTATGTAGACACTGTATACACTACACACGTAAAGTGGATCAGACACACTGGTATGTAGACACTGTATACACTACACACGTAAAGTGGATCAGACACACTGGTATGTAGACACTGTATACACTACACACGTAAAGTGGATCAGACACACTGGTATGTAGACACTGTATACACTACACACGTAAAGTGGATCAGACACACTGGTATGTAGACACTGTATACACTACACACGTAAAGTGGATCAGACAACCTGGTATGTAGACACTGTATACACTACACACGTAAAGTGGATCAGACACACTGGTATGTAGACACTGTATACACTACACACGTAAAGTGGATCAGACACACTGGTATGTAGACACTGTATACACTACACACGTAAAGTGGATCAGACACCCTGGTATGTAGACACTGTATACACTACACACGTAAAGTGGATCAGACACACTGGTATGTAGACACTGTATACACTACACACGTAAAGTGGATCAGACACACTGGTATGTAGACACTGTATACACTACACACGTAAAGTGGATCAGACACACTGGTATGTAGACACTGTATACACTACACGGAAAAGTGGATCAGACACACTGGTATGTAGACACTGTATACACTACACACGTAAAGTGGATCAGACACACTGGTATGTAGACACTGTATACACTACACACGTAAAGTGGATCAGACACACTGGTATGTAGACACTGTATACACTACACACGTAAAGTGGATCAGACACACTGGTATGTAGACACTGTATACACTACACACGTAAAGTGGATCAGACACACTGGTATGTAGACACTGTATACACTACACACGTAAAGTGGATCAGACACACTGGTATGTAGACACTGTATACACTACACACGTAAAGTGGATCAGACACACTGGTATGTAGACACTGTATACACTACACACGTAAAGTGGATCAGACACACTGGTATGTAGACACTGTATACACTACACACGTAAAGTGGATCAGACACCCTGGTATGTAGACACTGTATACACTACACACGTAAAGTGGATCAGACACACTGGTATGTAGACACTGTATACACTACACACGTAAAGTGGATCAGACACACTGGTATGTAGACACTGTATACACTACACACGTAAAGTGGATCAGACACACTGGTATGTAGACACTGTATACACTACACACGTAAAGTGGATCAGACACACTGGTATGAGACACTGTATACACTACACACGTAAAGTGGATCAGACACACTGGTATGTAGACACTACACTACACGTAAAGTGGCTCAGACACACTGGTATGTAGACACTGTATACACTACACACGTAAAGTGGATCAGACACACTGGTATGTAGACACTGTATACACTACACACGTAAAGTGGATCAGACACACTGGTATGTAGACACTACACACATAAAGTGGCTCAGACACACTGGTATGTAGACACTGTATACACTACACACGTAAAGTGGGATCAGACACACTGGTATGTAGACACTGTATACACTACACACGTAAAGTGGATCAGACACACTGGTATGTAGACACTGTATACACTACACACGTAAAGTGGATCAGACACACTGGTATGTAGACACTGTATACACTACACACGTAAAGTGGATCAGACACACTGGTATGTAGACACTGTATACACTACACACGTAAAGTGGATCAGACACACTGGTATGTAGACACTGTATACACTACACACGTAAAGTGGATCAGACACACTGGTATGTAGACACTGTATACACTACACACGTAAAGTGGATCAGACACACTGGTATGTAGACACTGTATACACTACACACGTAAAGTGGATCAGACACACTGGTATGTAGACACTGTATACACTACACGCAAAAAGTGGATCAGACACACTGGTATGTAGACACTGTATACACTACACACGTAAAGTGGATCAGACACACTGGTATGTAGACACTGTATACACTACACACGTAAAGTGGATCAGACACACTGGTATGTAGACACTGTATACACTACACACGTAAAGTGGATCAGACACCCTGGTATGTAGACACTGTATACACTACACACGTAAAGTGGATCAGACACACTGGTATGTAGACACTGTATACACTACACACGTAAAGTGGATCAGACACACTGGTATGTAGACACTGTATACACTACACACGTAAAGTGGATCAGACACACTGGTATGTAGACACTGTATACACTACACACGTAAAGTGGATCAGACACACTGGTATGTAGACACTGTATACACTACACACGTAAAGTGGATCAGACACCCTGGTATGTAGACACTGTATACACTACACACGTAAAGTGGATCAGACACACTGGTATGTAGACACTGTATACACTACACACGTAAAGTGGATCAGACACCCTGGTATGTAGACACTGTATACACTACACACGTAAAGTGGATCAGACACACTGGTATGTAGACACTGTATACACTACACACGTAAAGTGGATCAGACACACTGGTATGTAGACACTGTATACACTACACACGTAAAGTGGATCAGACACACTGGTATGTAGACACTGTATACACTACACACGTAAAGTGGATCAGACACACTGGTATGTAGACACTGTATACACTACACACGTAAAGTGGATCAGACACACTGGTATGTAGACACTGTATACACTACACACGTAAAGTGGATCAGACACACTGGTATGTAGACACTGTATACACTACTACACACGTAAAAGTGGATCAGACACCCTGGTATGTAGACACTGTATACACTACACACACGTAAAGTGGATCAGACACACTGGTATGTAGACACTGTATACACTACACACGTAAAGTGGATCAGACACACTGGTAT